CCGAAAACCAAGAAATACTGGACAACTGTTTCGTCCTAGTGTAGGACTCGTCGGTGATACGCACCCACAACCAGGGTCCTGTTATGTACTGGTCGAGAATTTAATAGTCCTGACGCAAGAAAAGACGGAAATCAGAAGACCACTAGGTTTGCGATGATACTACTATTTTCCAAACCCAAGGAGAATCAATGTCACACAAGTGTGTGAGAGCAAAATATATGAATTTCCGAACAAGTGTGTGAGCGAATATTCAAAATGAACAAATCAATACATGATTGGCTAATTATAATGGAATATCGATCCATATATACATAGCAAAATATATCAGACTGTCAAACAAACACACATATTATATGGATATAAATCACCAAGAACAGACTGTCAAACAAACACACATATTATATGGATACATATCACCAAGAACAGACTGTCAAACAAAACACACATATTTTATGGATATATATCACCAAGAACAGACTGTCAAACAAACACACATATTATATGGATACATATCACCAAGAACAGACTGTCAAACAAAACACACATATTTTATGGATATATATCACCAAGAACAGACTGTCAAACAAACACACATATTATATGGATACATATCACCAAGAACAGACTGTCAAACAAAACACACATATTTTATGGATATATATCAGGTTCCAACCCAGCAACTTTCGGTTAAAAGCAAGCTAGCCCATACCCCATTCAGCCAGTGGAACCTAACTCAGTGGTCAGCCCGTGAATTCTAACTTTTACCAATTCTTGATTTTAGTATGACTGGCACCAGCCAATTTCATAGCTGGCGAGCATTTGTCCTCACCCCTGACTGGTGACAATTTCTCATTAAAACCTCAGGTGACTTGCTTTTATAGTCATTCACCGGTGAGCATCAGACTGATTTTCAATGGTCTACGAAGTTGCCTTGTAACCGGAAGGTCCTGGGCACGAAACCCAGTGAGTGCATACTACCGATCTGTTCCAAACTAGGACAAAACAGCTGTCCAGTACTCTTTGGTTTTCAAAAGTCCTCTAATTGATATCAAACTTGAACTGTCTTTTAAACATGTGTGGTCAATAAGCACGTGAGGTGAAATGAGAAGTACAGGTTTCAAGGGTATACTTAATCAGTGATGTGACAGACAGTATGAATACTAAAGAGAAACAAACCAACAAACAAGACCGGCTGGATGTAAGTTCAAGTGTGGTAGATGACAATAAGAAGCAAATGGAATCCTCTAAACTCATTAATTGTGAGAACAAACGGCCCAGCACTTCTGTTACGAAACATATTACAGAGGCAGTATGCACATAGTGATGTGTACACGTCTTTTAAATCTATCTGTAAAATGTGTTTGAGGTTTAGCTTAAATTTTGTGGAAGCCCTAGCAATTTGAAAGTTTACACCACCAATTATGTATTCAAAAACAAGTTTCCCTCACACTAAACCTTCTTTGGTAAACTTTATTTTGATACCAGGACAGGCGTACTACTATCTCCTTTCTTTGGTTTATTGACCGCCTTTGTTATTTTGGCTTTTGTTGTAGCCTTTTAACTTAACGTATATCTATTATTTCACCCCTCAATGGTTTATTATTCTCATGTATATTTCTATGACAAGTACGTGCGCTGTGATCAGACTGTTCTGTCTGTCTGTCTGTTTTCGACATAGAACTTTGCACAAATGTGCGGAAGTTCAAGTCGCCACATTCCGTGTAGCACGCGAAGCAAGAGAAGAAAGTACAAGAAAAGCATAATAGAAACAGTGAGCAGAGGTGTGAGACAGACTGTTCTAAATATTCAAGTGTTGGTTTGTAGGGGTTTGATTGGTTACAGGATTTCATCATGAGCTGACATTAGTTAGAGAACCATTGCAAAACCTGGGAGTGGTGAACAGCTGTTTCGTCAGCCTAGTTTAGGACTCTTTAGCAGTACGCACCGACCGGGATTAGAACCCAGGACGTTCTGGTTACAAGGCGAGCTCGTATATCATTAATTCACTGGGACCTGATCCAATGGCCAGTCCATGAATTCTAACTTCTGCCAATTCACGACATAGCGCGACCCCTAACCAATGTCTTCGGCGAGTATTTGTCCTCACACCCGATCTGCTGCACCCTTCTGGTCACGACTTCTCACTAGAACCCCAGGTAACTACCTACCTGAATAGGGCAAGTTGCTAGTGACCACCTCATAGATATTCAAGTGTTGGTTTGTAGGGTTTGAAGTTAGAATTCATGGGGCATTGGATCGAGTCCCATTGGCTTAATGGTATTCGAGCTCGTCTTGTAACCAGAACGTCCTGGGTTCTAATGCCGGTCGGTGCGTACTGCTAAAGAGTCCCAAACTAGGCTGACGAAACAGCTGTCCAGTACTCCCTGAAGGTTTTCCAATGGTTCTCTAACTAATGTCAGCTCATGTTCGAAATATGTTGCGCGACTGTATTACACGATTCAGAAAAATTACGTCTTCTTACTGGTTTGTTGAACTTCTTAATGGGAACTAATTATTTAAAATAATATAACCTGGGAGTACTGGATAACTGCTTCGTCCTAGTTTGGGACTCCTCATCAGTACGCATCTACCACTAGGGTTCAAACCCAGGACCTAGGGGTAAGCCGGTGTACTATTCACATCAAATCCTTACAAACTAAATCTTGAAAATTAATCTGACGCTCTCTGATGACTGACTAAAAAATCAAGTTGCAAGGAGTTCCAGTGAGAAGGCGTGATCAGTAAGATCCAGCTGGCCGGGGTTGAGGACAAATATTCACTAGCCATGACATTAGCTAGTGCCAATCACGCTAGAGTCATCACGACCTAGTAGAAGTTAGAGATCATGGGCTGGCCAGTGAGTCCGGTCTCACTGTCTAAATGGTGTACGAGCTTGCTTGTTTGTAGCCAACCGGAAGGTTCTGGGTTGGAACTCTAGCTGTGGGTGTGTACTGCCAATGAGTCCTCCACTAGGACGAAACAGCTGTCCAGTAGTCCTTGGTTTTTGATGCTTCTCTAACTAATATCAATCCGTGATCAAACTTGAAACAAAGCTTGAGTTTTTCTTTTAATCGATTGCTGAAACTTCACCTGTATGAAGAAAATGCTGGCGAAATCCTTTCAAAAAGGTGTGGTCGTACTGTTTTTATAAATCTGAATGAATTCTCTGCTGATGACGTGTGACTAACAATAATCTCTCACCTTTAGTGTCAGTTACCAGTGTATATACGAACCCCTTACTAACTGTACGAGGTCGTTAAACAAAATAAGATCTCGGAATACACACATTGGGTCATAGGAATTATTAAGAAGACTATTGCAGCGAAGAAAATTTTCTTTTCGGCGAAGTCATCATCTAGGCTGTACATTCGTGTATTTATATCAAATGAATGGGAAAGTTCTAGAATAATCTCCGGTTAAGGGTCAAATTAATAAAAATTACAATTAGGAATTAGAATACCATAATAAACAGGGGGACGGATAATACTCAAACAAAGTAGCATCGTAATTACTAAGACGATTGACATTGTGCAATTGGGGGCTAAAATGTAGAAATAACAAAGACAGGATGTTTGGAGAAAAAAAACTAATATGACGAATAATTGTTTATGCAATCAGAGATTAAATATGTAGACATAGTAAAGTGACAAAATAAACACGAAGTTCGGATATGAAAATATGGTAGTGTAAACAGGGATTAAGAAAAACTTAAAATAACATGAATAAACAGGAAGTTTGGATAAGAAAGGCGATGGGATGGTCATCGTTAAAAAATTATCTGTTTATGATGGCCATGGCAGGGACAGGGGTTGGACGTATTTCTTTTGTATACAAAGCATGGGTTTGAGCTTTTGGATAGCTAGCGCTTCGGCTAAGCTTTGATGTCTTGATTTCACTCCCTTTGATAGGTTTGATTGAATCTTGTATACTATTTTGAAGGATTTTTCGAATGGCACTGAATGTCCTGAATTGACCAGATGTTCTGTCACCGAACTATTTACCTGTTTTCGTTCTCTTTTTACTAGCCAGGCTGGATAGTGTTCACGAGCGCGTTTTTCAAGTCGGCGCATGGTACAGCCGATGTACTCAGCTCCACAAGAGCAAGTAAACTGGTATATGCACGTTGAAGTGGCCCAATGCGACAGCTTGTCTTTCGCACGAAAACGCCAGTCGTAGGCTCACGGCGAAGTATATTTTCCTCAGCGATTTGCAGTGGCGTTTACGAAGCATTTCTGCTTCAATATCACCTTTGAATTCTAGATTAAGCAGAAGTATTTTCTTTCGAATGGATTGGACTTGTTCGAAAGTCTTCTTAGATTAGAGATTCTTGTCTATGAACCTGGGCGAGAAACCGTTTTCCATAAGGGTTTTTCAGAGATCTCTATTCGCTAACATACATCTGTTCAGCTTATAATGGCTCTTCAAATATTCTGTATCTACTTTTGTAGACTGAAGTCGATCTCCCCTATTAAAAAAAAGTCTGGAAGTGAATCACTTAATTCCTGTTTAATTTTTCTATTGCTTTTTCCATGAGATAAATATATAACTTGGAGACTAACTAATTAGAAAGCCAATTTCATGTCAATCAAACGAGGTTAAATATTGTTCATGATTATCCCTAGAAGTTAATTTTCCACTTGGCTAAGAAAACAAACCTACACCCTCCCCTCCACTTTTGACTATTTTTGTATATATGTCGTACATACAGACAACAGAAATAATTATAATAATCATAATCCTATTCTGATTCCTATTACTATTGATCTGATTTCCTGTTATATTGATAATATTTTTATGTGGAATTCAATTTTGATTGGTTGTCTGCATACCTCAATCATACACTATGAACTATGTACAGATTGTACAGACATATAATAAATTCTCTGTAATATTTTATTGGCTGATAGTCACTAGTAGTCGTCCGCTAAGCCTGTCAAATTTCGTATGTCTAGTTTTCCTCGTGTTTCCGCTGTCTTCTTCTTCTTCTTTTGTATGCTTCCCCATCTCCTCCTCCTCCTCCTCGTCCTCCCCTGAAATGACCTTGGGGAAATCTGATTAACACGTGTGTCTGTGTGCGCGCGCGTCAGTGCATTAGACGATTATTTTACGATTTTAGGTGTGATGTGATGAGAGGTGATCTAAGACGAGTTTACTAACACAGTGATAATAATAATAATAATATAGTTATCCAGTCGTGTATAACATGCTGCTCCAGGTTACAGATAGGATGTTAATAATTTATCAAGTAATGGAATTATACTTCTCATAAAACAAATCTGTTATGATATTACAGGCAGAATGGAGTGTATGCCTGTTCTTCATAATAAGAACTTTGGAGATAGCATTGTCTACTAGGATTACCCACTGTATCATTATTAATTAATTAATTAATTAATTATTGTTTCAAAACTTCATACCCACCTTTTTTTTAATGGACTGTTGTGTTCAATGAAAAGTTATTCAAGTGTATTATTATTATTATTATTATTCTTATTACTATCCAGAATTACCTCATCTCAGTCTTTCACTAGTTCTTCATCATTATCGTTATTGTCTTCCACATCGTATAGTCCATTCACCTATTCTCTATACATCTGGTTGTATATATTCAGTGAATTCCTTTTCAAGCATAATGTTGAAGCTGTACAAGGCTGTAGTATATTCTATCAATCAGATTATAAATGGAAAAAAGCATTATGTGATTCAGAAGTCAATAAATTAACACAATTACCAACAAATTTACCAGATCATTTAATTGAATTACGTGTTTTACACCAAGCGATTGGAAAAATTAAACGAGCCGCTGTGAATCATTTAATTCACCTTGAAACATTTCATATTGAATCTAGTCAAGTAAAACAAATTGAATCGGATACATTTCGTCAATTAATTTCATTGAAATATATTAATTTAAGAAATAATTCATTAACTATAAGTAGAATGAGTTTTCCAGTGGAATTACTCAATGATCTACCGAATCTACGTTCATTGAATTTAGCTGAAAATCCTATTGACTTTATACCGGATGCATTTTTTGATAGTTTAAGTGGGAATAAACTACAATACTTATGGTTCGGATCTGTTAAGTCGACAGGTATAAAATTTGAATCGAATACACTAAAACCACTGACGTATTTACGTTTGTTAGATTTAAGTTTCACTGGATTAAACAGTCTAGATGCATCGAATGAATTAGTTTTGAATAATATGCCTGAATTGAAAGAATTCTATCTTGGCGGGAATCCTTGGACTTGTGATTGTAAATTAAGCTGGTTGAAATTATGGTTTCTACAAGAATCGTCTAAAGGAGGATTACGTTATCAGTTGAATAAAACGGATCTTAATGGAAATATTGAAGTCAGTGAACCAGTATGCTTTAAACCGGATAGTTTGAAAGGCAAATATTTATTCTCTGATGGTAGCAATAATAGAAATAATAATAATAAATACAATGCTGTACAGTTCTCGGATTTACGCTGTCCACCACAAATTTTTACATCGAATGAAAACTTCACACTAGATTTTGGTAAAACACTCCTTTTACGCTGTGAATATCATTCACCAGGTATTGATAATCTCCAGTGGTATAAAGATGATCAACTTGTACAGAATACCTCTGAGAAAATGATTATTCAAGGTCAAGCGGGATCAAATTTCTATTCAAATCTAATCGTCGCCTCTACTACAGGTGAACATACAGGCCTATGGAGTTGTGTATTGAACCCAGAACAGCAGACAATATTTTCAGTGGCAATTTTAAATTCTGACGGGAGAATCCTTTATCCAAGTGATGAAAAATCATTTATGCACGGAGCATTCTTGTTATTCGGAATTAGCGGAGACACAAAGAATTGGATTTATGTTAGTATTGCTGTGATTATCCTATTCGTAATGTTAGCAATAATTGGAGTGGGCATATTTTGTTGTTGTGAACCACAGACAAGGACATCAGATTTATCTGCGGAATCACAAACGCTGCAAGAAACACACGACAAAAAGAAGAAAAAGTGTTCTGGTACATCGTATTCTCTTTGCAAGTGTCGACTTCGATGTTTCAAGAGACGGAATAACACGAGTAGAAAATCTGAAGACAATAAAGACGATTCATTGAGTAGTTTAATGGTAGCCGGTAGTCAAGAGGATGAACGGAAGATAATCGATAAGGGGGAAGTACAATTAGCCAATAATATGAAAAGTACTTCAACCTGTTCAAAGACACTTATCTCCACGGCTATTGTAGATTCTAATAATAATGATGTTAGTAATAATCTACAAAAGAGAAATGTTGAAGATAACCGCCTGCTGAATATTTTCTGTTGTCCTACAAATACAACACGTGAAGTTCAAGTGGTCACTTTGCCGACAATCGAATCATCTTGTCCAACATCACTAACTGGTGTAACACACTTAGGTGGATCTTTAATACACGAAACAGTAGCTACTGGTGGAAATCGGCTACTAGTATCCTGTGATAGTCCTGAACCGAAATTATTGATTGCCAATGGAATTACACCATGTTCAAATATTTCGCCTGTAAACTTCTCAGCTTGTTTACAACCACAACAGGTCAGTGTTTTACAGCATCAATCAAATCCAACAGTCTGGGATAGTAATCAGAATCCAATAATGCCTGAATTATTGACCCCGTATACTTCGTCTAATCAGATAGCAGCTACGGAAACATCGAAACCATGTCCTGTACATGGACTTATGAAGCTGAAACATGTTGAACTGATTAGTAATACAACCAACACCATGCCTACTACTAATAGCAGTACTACTCCTTCGAGTAATTGTGATACTAGCAGACACTCTTCAAATTACCAGAAAATTGATTCTGTCTATTGGGATCACTCTAATCTGGCCTCATTTCTAAACAATACTCATTTAGCCTACAATATATCAAATTGTGTACTGTTAAATACAAATGTGGATAACAAGGTTAGTAATAATGTTAATAACAGTACTAATTCAAATCTGGGTGAAACTGTAGAGGTGATTCAAAATTATGCTAAAACATTACCAAAGAATGGAAGCCTACTACAGAATATTAGTATGCATGATCCCAATTTACAATGGCCTTCAGATTCCCTACCACATGAATCTTGTCCACTGCATGGGCTTCAGACATTGACACGAAGGAAAAGTAAGGCTGGTGGTTACCCAGTTGATGTGACATCGATTGCCAGTAATACCTTAAAAACACATCATTTCAGTAAACCTCTTATTAATAGTCAGTCGAACCATCAACTCCACCATCCTCATGGTAAAGAGGATGGTGTGCACAGTCGAAAAGTGACAGTCTACTCTTCTAATGATAATACAAGTGAACAAGATGATGAAACTGACCAACAGTCGAATAGTGATCATGACACAGGTGGTCGTCGTTTTTTACTTCCTCCTCTTCCCGGTGGTAATAAACACAATAAAGGCGGGTGTTCATCCTCTGAAACTGGATCTCAAGGTGAAAGTTCAGTATGTGAAAAATGTCCGCACAGTGATTGTGCTGACTCTGATTCGTCTACCTCATCATCAACAGCATCTTCAGTGAATCAAAAATTCAAACTTGCCTATCCATCAAATCAAACCAGACTGAATTCAGTTTGTTCTTCATTATCTAATCAATTGAATTTATCAACAGCAGTGGTTAGCGGTACTGTAGGCGATGAAACTCCAGAACAACAATCACCTCCTTCACCTGAATTTTATCCGCCTACAAGACGGCTAAGTCGTCCAAGTAGTTCAAATGGTCGTCCTATAAATTATCATGGAAATCGTAACAGTAGCGTTATAAACAAATTAAACGAAAATGCAAACTGTCCTGTACATTCCTTAAGATTGAATCGTAAATCGATATCAGGTAAAATATTTTATGACAGTCGTCAAAATTATGATCCTCATCATCATCATCATCATCAACATAAAAATAATCTGAACACTCTTCGAGGAGTAACTACACTGCCGTCAAGATTTCGAAAAGTCAACAGTGCTAATACATCTATCATTGATGGTAGTAATACCAGTGATAGTATAGCTTTTATGCGGAAATTTGCTAGTCAACACACAGTAAAATCAAACTGCTCCTCATCTTTATGCTTATCTGCTCAAAGTTTGGATAAATACAGCCGACAATCAAAGCCTATTCTTCGACCCGGTTCTAAGCATAAACTTGACACTGAAAGTGATTCAGACACTAATAATAATAATACTTCCGAAGAGAATAATAACTTTGTATTATGAGTGAATTTATCAACTAGCAATATGTATATATATATAAATCTGTTGTAAGTATTATTTATATCCATCTCAAGTAATTTGAATTCATCTCAACTTTCTAGGTGTACATGTTTTTCATTTTTTAACTTTCAAATTCAAATTTCGCGCAATCAATGTGATATGACATTAAAACAAGGATATTGATTTTTTTTCGCTCTATCTCTCTCGAATGATTTATTGACTAACCGTCAATAAGAATAACAACTAATGAATATTATCACCAGTATAGAAAAAAAATATTTACAAAGAAACGAACACACAACGAGTGGAATAAAACCGATATTTTTTCGCCTCTTCATTTGAATAAATCCGAACGCGAAAAATTTGAAAATGTGTAATATACTTCTCTTCAAAGATATAATGATTAATTTAAACACACGCATACACACCCTTATGAATTAATTATATGCGTTAATGTTGAAATGAATAAATAAACTAATAATAATGTAAATAGGGTAAATTTTTAATGAATTATAAAAGAAAATACTATTTTGGAAATGACTTTTTAGTATTTTTTTTGGTTATGTTGAAACTTATAATTTAAGAATTTCCAAGCGTTGGTTTGTAAGGATTTGATTAGCTTCAAGACTAATAGTAATATTTACTCGATTTAGTTTCATATATAAATTTATTTTAACCCTAGTTGTTTTTTTATCGTAGATGGTGGACTGCGATGCAGTCTTGATTAAACTGAGTTTGTGATAAATTGCAGGTTTAAAAGTTGAGGAATATAGCAACAGTCCTTCGATTTGAAAGCGAATTTAGTGGAGGAGTCAGGATAGGAGCGATCAGAAGGTGTCTAGCAAACGCCACAAAAGATATTCATTCTGGCTGAGTGAAAAATCGATAACGAAGAAAATCAATACAGATTTAAAGGGTAGAAATGGATAGAATAAATTAATTTTACAAGGATAACACGTAAATTAAAGATGAAGTGGTCAAAATAAATAAAAATAAATAATTTGGACAATTATAATTTTTATGATTTCAAATGTTTAGAGGAAGGGGTTGAAGTAGTCCGGTTTGTACATTCATGTAACGATGGCTAAGGTAAGGAAAGTGGCTGTACAAATTTCTTATGAACACATAGGTTTAGCTTCTTCAGGTGGATTCCTATCGCTTCAGCTATCTGTAGAAGACGAACTCGTAGAGCAAAATTAAGATTATTAGGAATGCGATAAATAATTTTAATTGCTGTATTAACATCAATCTTATGCTCACTATCTACAAGGTGTGCTGAAATAGAGCTATGAATAGATCTTTTTTGTCCCTTACTTAATCACGTTGGATGATGTTCGGAAATACGACGATGAACTTGCCTAATTGTATGCCCAATGTATCTGGTTCCGCAGCTGCAGTCAAACTGGTAGATGCACATAGAGGAGGCGAATTTAGGTAGTATCTAGGTACTTTATTAAAAATCGATTAAACAGCCAAAATGAACATTAGAAACGAGTGTAGGCTTCTTTTAACAACACTCAATGCAAAATGAAATAAGACCATTCACAACACCCAACTAATTGAGAAAATTTTATCTGTACCTAGACCAGTCACCTCTTCTTGTATCTATGAATTTAACCGCTTCTTTTGGGCCAGTTTATACTGACTGTCGCTTTAGGATCTTTATTTTTCGTGCACAGGAACACCTATAAGTGAGACAACATAAAAGTGTGGTACAAGCCGTCAACAGTGTGATATTAGACCACCTTGTCAAAACCTGCCATAAAGCCAGTATTAACGAATCTTTCTCTATCATCTGTCGGTTACCAGATAAAATGGCATAAGCTTCTTCGAACCGAATACTTCGAATAGAAGAGCTCATTGAAATGTGTTTGAAACAACCGAAGCTGATTATGTGTGTGTGTGTTTGTGTGGAAAAGAAACAGGTTCAACCACTTTTTCTACCATGGCCCTCTGTAGTATTTATAAAAGGCAATCAATAAAGCAAACATAAATACGTATGACTATATACTACTAATTAATTGAGGTGAGTAGTTGTATCCCACTCACATCTGACTGTAGACTTTGCTAGGTAGATGGAAGTTTTATACCATTATGTCGACTTGTTACCAGGGAATAGTCTAATGGACTTAGAATATGCAGATGACATAGTCCTGTTAGGAGAGGATGCTGACAAAATGCAGAGTCTTCTGAACACATTGAGCAGCAATCTTCGTATGTTTGGCATGCGATTCGTCCCTACAAAATGTAAGATGCTGCTACAGGACTGGACTACGTCAACTCCTGGCTTAGTGATAGGGAGTGAAGTGATAGAACATGTTGACCACTTCACCTATTTGTATCAGCAACAACAGACTGATTGGCTACGAAATCTCAGCATAGATCCAAAAAGATCGAGCTGCTTTCGCCAACTTTCACCATCTCTGGCGTAGGCGTGACATCCGGCTATTGAACAAGGGACGTGTGTACTGCTCAGCAGTTCGCTCCGTCCTTCTCTATGGCTCTGAAACATGGCCAATGCGAGTTGAAGACATGAAAAGGTAGACTGCTTTCGATCATAGATGTCTGCGATCTCTTTCTCACGTTAGGTGGTTTAATAAGGTAAGTAATGTTGACCTTAGGCGTAGAGTGTTGGGCACAGAGGGAAAATCAATCGACAAGGCTATAAAGTTACATAGATTGAGATGGCTAGGTCAGGTGGTGCGCATGCCTAACCATCGCCTCCCCCGACGGGCATTACTAGCTGATATAGGTGCAGGTTGGAAAAGAGTAAGCGGTGGTCAAACAAAAACATGGCCTCATCAATCCATGAAATCCTTGACAGTTAAACTGAGTCAGTCAGGTAGGGAGATGCAGACTTCCGGGTTGTGGCCATCGGGACTCTAGAAATCAATGGCTGGAGACAATAGGTTACATGGCTCAAAATCGTTGTCAATGGCCAGGGCAGATGTATTCAGTCTCTGCAATCTTTCATATTTCTTTCTACCATTACCCATTCTGTTTCACTCTTATACTTGTCAGACTGTATTGGTTCTCTTCACTCATCTTCTTGTCTACCTTTGTGTGCTATTAGGAACGTGGCAACTCGAACTACCGCAATTCGGTGCCAAATTCCAGACAGACCGACAGACCATTATGTCAGCTTTCTTGATTACCATTTCTGATATCAAACAAATCACATTTTATCCTCTGAATTATTTTCAGTTTCCAAAAGGAAACACTGGTGACATTTGACCTCCTCAAACTGTGTAAATCGCATTTTGTGAAAGTGGCTTAACATAGATTAAACGTTTCAACCAATAAACAAAAAAACCATCTAGTCAAATATCAGAGCAATGAATAAATCACCAAAATGTAATGATAAATACTTCAAGAAAATATCTTGGTAATCAATGACTTTAAAGTTCTATTACAGAATAAATTTATTTAATAAAAGCACACGTTTATGTGAAATTGATTACCGATGACGTTTCAAGCGTAATTTATAGCTAATAATAATATCAGCGTCATTTGGATACAATAATATGATTTTTATTTATATTATTTATTATCCCTATTGGGTTTCGAATGGAACATAGGGATTCAACGACACATCTCTATTTTTTCCCATCTTCTGCGTCCTCTTCATCTAAAGTCCCCGTTTGCCCATAATCTCTCATATCCTCCATGTGACACTTGCACCGATGACCTACTCGTTTCTTCCCACTGGGATCCCACTCGAGCGACAGCCTGCATTGCGCGCGTGATGTCATTCAACGGTCTCCTCAACGTATGCCCAATCCATCTCCATTTTTCCTCTGCATATTTGTTAAACGATCGGCTCTTGATTAGTTAGCTGCCAGTCAGAGTGCTTTTGTTGCTAATTCTTTCTGGACACCCAGCCATTTGATTTTCAGTATGGATTCAAAGAAGGCAGCTGTTGATAAAAGTCTGTAACTGGTTAGAAATCCTTTACGTGTTAAGCAGTGCAAGTTTTTGACCCGTATTGAAGAACCTTGCTTAGTTTACTAGTCCACCAGTTATCTAGGCGGTCCCAAGCCAGGGTAAGGAGGGAGGGGGGGACTAGCAACCCTACACCAAAAAATGCAATCAAACTGCTAGAGACAATACTTCAACGAAAAATAAATATATTAAAAATACGAAAAACATAAAACTCACACTTATTCTTTGTTGGAATTGGAGAGGCGAAATGATGCGGGCTGGTGAAAGTCGGCCTTCTGAATGCCAGTCAGTCTTCTCTCGATGATAGCAAGAATAAGAATGGGGGCGTGGAATGTACCTACAATGTATAAGGCGGAGAAGGCTGTCCAGGTGAATGACTGAATGAGACGATATGGTATAGAAGTACTGGGAATCTGAGAAAGCAGATGGCATTGATGTGAAATATCGAAATTGTCAACTGGAGAGTCAGAATTCTCCTCCCCCTCACCCAGACGTTAATCACAAGCACACTGAGGCAGTGAGTGACTATCATGATGTCCCTAGTGGCAGCCATGGCACAATGATATGATTATGAGCAATAAATTGTGCTCCACACGTCATTAACTAATACTCTTGTGTCCATGTGTTCTTTTCACAAATAAACTTATTCTGCAGTGAAGTTATTAATACACACTAATATTGAAGCTTTATTTCGAACAGTAAGGAAATTCTTGGTGTATTTAATTGCTAAATACTCCCTTTTCATATAAGGTATACAAATAAAATATTAATAATCTGCATTATATCATATGAATCAGTGTTATTTTATATAAAGAAAGAACTAATTCTCTACTATTGTAACAACAGAAGACAACGGCTAGGTAACAGATCGTTGATTATGGAAATCAGCACATACTTATAGATTTTCATGTACCTTATTGTAGATTATTGTTAGCAGAAAAACATAGTCTTCTGATTGGTTGTTTCGTACAGAAAGTTGACATTGCATCTCTTTGTGTCTCTTTCTTGAATGTCAGATCATCTATATGTTAACTGTATCCGCCTACGCAAAGTCTTTGTTCTTACTTTTCTCACGATCAATATTGGGGACACAAACATTGACTTAAATTAATGTCTACCAAATTGGCTAGCAGCAAGCTCTTACCAACCTATATTTTTCCTTCATTCTTTCCAAAAACTGCACAATATTTTACCCATTCAAAATGTGCGCCAGTTCATGTATTGATCATTGAATATAATTATATGATTAAAGCAGATATGTAATGCAAAAATGGGCATAGCATATAATGGATGGAAATTCTGGTTGTTGAGTAATTTAAACTCTACCACATTGGCAAAGTTCTATTCTTATATCGATCAATGAAGATATCATTAGGAATGATGAATATTTCATTTCGTGAAGAATTGGTGTGATTGACTTCATATGATTATGAGTAGCATTAGTTTGTGATCGAAACGTCATCAGTTAATATTACTGTATAACACTGTATGATTTATACTTTACCAGAGTGCCCAAGTTTTATATTTATATTAATATTCCCATAGTAAAATTTGGAACAACACATTTAAGCGAACAATATTGTTTTCAATTAGATCTCATCAGGCTTAACTCTAATATATATATATATATATATATATATATATATATATATATATATATATATATATATAAGTTTACAAATAAAACTTCAAATAT